CAATGAGTCTGAAGTTTATTTTAATCTTTGTTTTTTCTTGATATTCAGGTTGAAGGAACTGTAAAGATTCCCGATTTTAAGATTACACTTCTGCAGTACCAAACATGCCCGTTTTGTTGCAAAGTGCGAGCATTTCTCGACTACTATGGACTTCCATACGATGTTGTGGAAGTTAATCCAGTGATGAGACAGCAGCTCAAGTTTTCAAAAGGCTACCGAAAAGTGCCCATCGTTTTAATTACTCCAACTCCAAGTAATTCAGAGTCGGATGCCGAGACTAGAACTTTGGTAAGTTTTTTGCTGCAAATCTCAAATGTCAAACTTTTATTTACATTTTGTCACCATTCCTTTTAGCAAATCAATGATTCGACACTGATCATCTCAGCTTTAACGTCTTACCTCCTGTCGCGAAAGCCCACATCTCGCCACCACAACGAATCACTAGCTACGATGACTCGCTGGTACCTGAACAACCAAGTATTCTTGCATGAAGACGAAAATGAGAACGAGTCTGGCTCTGATGCCACCTTCAGGGCTCGACACACCAGTGATGAACTAGTCCACCGTTACTTCCTCATGATCGGCGACATTGATCCTCGAAAGTACGAGCGCATGGACCCGCCGCTGGCGGAGGAACGTCGCTGGAGACGCTGGGTGGACGACCACTTTGTGCACGTCCTCTCGCCCAACATCTATCGGACCTTTGACGAGGCTCTGCGATCGTTCAACTATTTCTCAGAGGTTGGAGAGTGGGAGAAGAACTTCTCCGACTGGGAGAGACTGAGCGTCATCAACGTCGGTGCCGCCGCCATGTATATGGTCAGTAAGAAGCTGAAGAAGAAGTACAACCTCAAGGAGGATGTTCGCGAGTCACTCTACGAATCCTGCGACTACTGGCTCAAAGGCATCGGTCGAAGTCGGCAATTTCTGGGCGGTGATCGCCCGAACCTCGCTGATCTGGTTTGTATTTTGTTTTGCAAATTATATGTAAAGTTTACGTGTTCTAATTAACGATTTTTCCCCTGCAGGCTGTCTACGGCGCTCTGAGCTCTATCGAAGGATGCGACGCTTTTGTCGATCTAATGAACAACACTCAAATGTCAAAGTGGTACTTTGCCGTGAAAACCTCCGTTCAGCAGGCAGATGGCTCCAACAACATCAGAGCTTTCATGGGCTAATTTAGTTTTGCAGCTCTAGATGATCCTTTTTGCTGTGTGCATGTAATCACCATTTTCATTATTTATTGCCAAGTATTTCCACGAAAAAAATAAATGGCGACTCTAATCCGTCAGCAGCAGCAGTAGTGTGATAGGTGGGTCACGTGGTGAAAGCGAGAGGTCTTGATCACCGTAACAGACTGTGTGTCATGACAACATAGCTTGAACCTGCATCATCGCTGCTGGCGGTCACTCGCTATCAACTGGTACTGATCACTGTCTCGTCTATCACTGGCTGCCCTGCCTTCTTCACACCAGCCAACCCACTTTCTCTGACTAGCAGTCACATCGACACCTTCGGTGCCCTGGGCGCCTCCATTTCTCGTCAGATTAGCTCTGACAGTAGCAGCAGCAGCTGTGCTATTGTTGTTGGTGCAACTGCTGCACGCATCACGCAAACACACACACACCAATTGCCTGTTTCGTTCATTGCAGTGGCACATTACACTGGCAATGCCACTCGGCCATTGTGTTCGTGCACTGTTGTTGTTGTACACTGACTGATAAACCTGAGCATCATCAGGCTTTGTGTTTGGCGACCACACTGGCTGCTGCTTCTCTCCTCGATCATGCCGAAGAAGAGCAAGAACAAGAAAAAGTTCTGTCCTGCTTTGCTTCCTCACCGAGGCAGTCCATCTTCACCACCTGAGAAGGTCGTGGTTCGGTGCTGCGAGTGTTACCATCAAGCCCGAGGATCCGTGGAGCCGGCCCAGGTGGCCATGGCGCACCAGTACGGCCCACCGTACTACGTGCAGGTGTACCGCCTGCCGGACCGCAGTACCTGTCGGACGCCGCTGCGCGCCTGCTACCACCACATTCGCATCTTCGCCGACTGGAGCGAGTCGGCGGTGGCGGCGGATGAGGACGACGGTGGCATCACCATTCGCTTCCAGGACGTGAAGCGCCTCAAGCCGAAGAACCACCTGCTGAAGGTGCGAATGCGCACCGGCGCCGTCTACTACGTCGACTTTGTCCACCGCACCATTCTCAAGCGCTTCCTCGACGAGTGCGTCGCCCAGCAGTTTCTCAAGGACTCGCCCTACACCATCCGCTCGGTGGAGATGCTCAACAAGTACTTCCTCAAGCCGGTCTACTACCCCAACGGACAGAGTCGCTTCTACTGTGATTGACCATTCTTCTCCTGTTCCTTCTGTGCTTTCTACCATCATCATCTATCGCATTTGTACAGACAACCTCCTTTCTCCACTTTTAAGACTGTTCTCTGTTCCTGATTATTACTTAATCTCACCTCTAACATAATAAATATCGTAAACTATGTGTGAAATTGGAGTCGGGGTAAAAACAGATGCGGATAAAACTTTTTCGATCAGTGATGATGGCGCCGTCTGGTGACAGTGAACGGCAATCAGAGAGTGGTGAGCAAGTGCATCGCTTTGCTGTGTTGTCGTCGCCGTCGTCGTACGCTTTGGCTGCATCTCTCACTCTGCCTCTCTCTCTCTGCGCCCTCGACCTCAGTCTCGATCTCCTCAGCTCCAAACTCGGACTCTGCATCTTGTTTTTACTTGGACCACACCTGAACCACAGCGAAAGGCCTCAAGATGACGGACGTATCTTCTCGCCTCGAGCGGGTCATGTCCAATGACAATGAAATTAAAGGTACGGCGTCTACTTCTGTCAGTTGAGTGCTGCTGCAGCTGCTGCTGCAGTTGTGCTGCACGCAAAACACCCACTAACTCGCTGAAGTGATTGGCGCTTTGAGAGTTTGTGCTTGCGTGCTTGACGTAGAACTCTCTCTCTTTCAATCTTCTTCTTCAAAGATGATCATGGAAGTGCCTTCCACTAATTATCACCTTCAATGCTTTCTCCTGCTCTGTAGGTGCTGTGGCGGCCACCTCGATCCTGCACCAGAAGGCAATCGACATTCGCCAGCGACCAGTCACCTGGCAGTCGTACCACAAGTCGCAGATGATTTCCGATCGGGACTTCAAGTTCATCACCGCCTATGAGGCAGTGAAGCCGGAGAATCGCAGTGAATTCCTCCAGGCTAATGGCCCACAGACGGCGGAGACCTTTCTCTCGCTGCTGCACTCTCTCAGCAAGGACCAGACCATCCAGTACGTTCTCTGTCTGCTCGATGAGATGTTCCTCGAGCACAAGACCCGCGTGGACATCTTCCACAGCTACTGCGCCGAGCGAAAGACCTCACTCTGGCAGCAGTTCTTCAGTCTGCTGCACCGCGATGATCCCTTCATCCAAAACATGGTAAGTGCTGGTCCTTGTTTACATGATCAAAATGCATTTTTTAAGTTGAGTTAGAGTTTATATTAGTTTTATTTACTTAAAGATCCTAAGAATCGAGGATAGGTAGCTTTAGGTGGATCGATTCCTCTATCGATTGTTTTTTTTGTCTTCTCCAAAGACAACTTCAGTGTCGTACTTCGAGGATTTCCCTTTCCGCACACACGTGCACACTGCGTCTTTCACGTGTTTCACGCACACACAGCAGTCCAACTTCTTGACGATGATTTCTAAACATATTCTTGGTCAATTTCCCCTAATTACAGGCTGCCTTGCTGGTTGCCAAGTGCGCCTGCTGGAGCACCAACACCCGTTTGACGGGCAATGACTTGAGTCTCTACCTCAACTGGATCAATGAGCAGCTGAAGACGGTGAGTGGGGTGGCATGAAAACATAATGGTAACAACAATTTATAATATGTTTTAATTCGTTCCGTACAGTCCAATGAGTACATCCAAACGACGGCTCGCTGTCTGCAGCTGATGCTGCGCATTGACGAATACCGTGCCCAGTTTGTCCGCCAGGATGGCCTCACCGCCGTCTTTGGGGCGCTTGAAGCCCGTGCCAACTTTCAGATTCAGTACCAGCTCATCTTCTGCGTTTGGATCTGCACCTTCGACTACGACCTGACGCTCACCATGAACCGCTACAACGCCATTCCCAATCTGGCCGACATTCTCTCGGAGTCGATCAAGGAGAAGGTCATTCGCATGATTCTGGCTACCTTTAGAGTAAGTCCTAATTTTTTTGCCTAGTTACTCTTTCCATCACATCGCTTTTAATCATCATGATGCAACACTCTTGTGCTTGAACTCTCTGAGAGATACAAAACACTGATTTAATGAGTCTGAATCTATCTAAGCGCTAGTTTCTTTATAACCACTCTTTCAAACATTAGAAACATTTCTAACTGATTTTGTTTTGCTTTCAGAACTTGATTGAGAAGCCCTTTGAAAATGAGCCCGACATTTCGCGAGAAAACGCTATCACAATGGTGCAGTGCAAGGTGCTGAAGCACCTGGAAATTCTCCAGCAGTCGGGCCAAAAGTTTGACGACCCCGACATCAAGGAGGACATTGAGTTTCTCTTTGAGAAGCTGCAAGCCTCGGTGCAGGACCTGTCCTCCTTTGACGAGTACTCCACGGAGATTCGCTCCGGCCGCCTCGAGTGGTCGCCGGTGCACACCAGTGAAAAGTTCTGGCGAGAGAATGCCGCCCGGCTGAATGAGCGAAACTACGAACTGCTGAAGATTCTGATTCGTCTGCTGGAGGCCAGTCGAGATGCGCTGGTTCTCTCGGTGGCTGCTCACGATCTCGGCGAGTACGTCCGCCACTACCCTCGAGGAAAAGTGTAAGTGCAATTGCTTTGTGTTTAGATCCGTGTGTTTTTATCATGATGACCACCTTTTGCTTGAAGCCCATGAGAGCTAATTTACTGATTTAATGAGTCTGATTCATTGTGCTTATGTATCATTTCATGTTTTTAGAAGTTGTCATATTTGAAACTAATCCTGTTTTCTTTACTTTTCAGTGTCACCGAGAACCTAGGTGGAAAGCAGCTGGTGATGCAACTTCTCGGCCACGATGATCCCAATGTGCGGTACGAGGCCCTGCTCTGTGTTCAGAAGTTGATGGTTCAAAATTGGGAGTACCTTGGCAAGCAGCTGGAGAAGGACACGAAGAAGGAGGTGGCCGTCAAATGAGCCAGTGCAGAGGCTTTCTAGCTTTCCGAATGTGCTACCTTTCCACTTGAAGCATTCCCCTCCTTTCTTTCTTTCTCCCTCCTCCAAAAACGACTCACCTACTGTTACTACATTCAAGCTAATGAGAGAGGAGGAATCTATTCTATCTGTTGCTGTGAACTCGCTCTGAATATCTCCATTTTCCCTTGCATGCCCATTGTTTTAATAATCAAGACTGTTCCAATCTGTTGTTTTTCAGCTCTTCTGTAATAGCTTACACACTCGCGAGGATAGGCCTGTTGGTTCGAGCTATCACAACTTGAAATGCTTTCTTTCTCTTTTCCTTTCTTTCCCTTTCTTTCTGTTACAGTTTGAAATATTTTATATCATCTAGTCGGATACCAGTTCTAATGATACCTGCAGAAGTCTACCAGTTCAATAACAATAATAAATGCGAATAGCCGCCACCGCACTGTTGAGCTACTTTACCACTAATAACTTTTATCCTTTTTTTATGGCACATATCCTGTCGATAAATTGTGCACTTCGGCGCATCACAAAGTGTTCACTGTGTAGTTATGACCATCACTAATTTGTTCTAGTCTCGAATTTCTCACGCTTGCTTAGTGCTGCAGTAAAAAGCACTCTCCATTTCCCTCAAACACAAAACTTGACCTGTGAATAATAGCGCTTGAATGTGCCTATCAGTGTGAATCAGCTACCGCCAGTGCCACCACTGATCACTGATTGGTGGTGGGTGCTATTGTCAGTGCTGTACATTTTTCACTCTCTTCAAACCCCAAACAAACTTCTCTTGTTTCAAATATTGGGCTCAGTGTCAGCAGTGAGCATCCAAAATGGACAACACAGCCATGTTGGACGTGCTGAAACGCGTGGAGAGCAAGCTGGACTGCCTGGCTACTCAGAACACCAATCTGAACAGTGAGATGAAGGAGATGCTCATCCAGATTTCAGCCAACAAGTGTCCTTGTCTTTCATCCACCACCAGCACCACTACCACCACCAGTGGCATGTATTCCACCGCTGGCAGCAGCAGCAGCAGTAGCTGTAACAGCAACATCATCGAAGTGGACCAGTGCATTGATCTGCTGTACAGCGAAGCAGTGACCACCATAAAGACCGACGTGCAGCTCATCAAAACGACTGACAAACCGTTTGTCGCTCCAGCCAAACCAGAGATGCCCATCGTTTCGGAGCCCTCCACCTCTAAATCAACCGATGACACTGCTGAAAAAATTGAGAAGCTGGCTGAGAAATTCGCCGAAATGCCTACTGAAAAGTCTACAGAAAAGGCTCCTGAGCCATCACCTTCATCCTCCTCAGGCAAACACCATTCGTTCAGCAGTATCGTTAAGGAAGCGCTGTTGCCTGCTCTGAAGCTGACCAGCAAGCAGACAGCTGCTTCCAAGTCAGCTGCTCCAGAGGTGCAGAAGAAGAGCAAGAAGGCGACTGATGGCACTGATGGTGGTGGTGGCCAATACATGACCCTTCGCTCTGGAAAGGTGAGAGGCGGTGGCGCCGGAAAAGAAACAGCTGTGGCTTTAACTTTAGCGACCGGTACCACCACCACCAGTCAGTCAGGCAAAGGGGTGGCGAAGAAGGGCCCCAAGAAGCAAACCTCCTCAAAGAGCCTGCTCACATCTCAGTCTTCAGCGGCGGCGGCGGCGGCCAGTGGCAGTGCCGGCGGCTCCGCTTTCAATCGCCGAGCCGCCATCAAGAGGACCAGATCTGCCCAGCCGCACCAGCAGCATCAGCAGCAGGCATCTGGTAAGAGCTTGGTAGTAACGGCGACGAAACAGTTGATTGCCAGCGGTGCCGTCATATCGCCCGTTTCTCGCTTCAAGCAGCAAGTTGCCGCCGCAGTTGTCGTCCCTGTCGGAGATGAAGAGGCCTACGTGCCTGAGGTGCTAGTGAACAGCAGCGGCAGCAACACTGCCACAGGTGGTGATCCAAAGGAGCCGCCCCCAGTCACCGTCAGTCATTCTGTTCAGTTCAGCACTCCGCCGAACAACTTTGACCACAAGCCGGAGCTGCCCGTTGCCGATCGCCTCAAGGCCTGGGAGATTCGTTCCACCAAGAAGAACTAAAGTGGGCAACTATAGTGCATTGAGAACTACCCCAGACACCACCGACAAACACTTTAACTTATTTTTCCACTTTTATATCAAAACAAACCAACTACTCTCGCTTTTACACCAATTTTGCATTTTCATTTCTTCTGAAGTTAATATCCTCGATGATTTTACACTTAACAATAAAAAGATTTATTTTAATTAAGGAGTTGATTTGGCTGTTGCTGCTACTACTGCTGTTGTGCACGCATCATCAGTGTGTCGTCATCAATTCACTTGTAATGGCAAAACAGACTTTTTCTTCTTTTTCCCCAGACTGCTTTACCTTGTAGACTTCTTCGCACTCTTTCTGACGGCAATCATCGCAATCATCGACTGCGACGCCAGCTACCATTTGATTAAAAACACAAGAGCCACTCTTTCCTGGTGACACTTTTCTTTGTCTTCTTCTACATCTATACTCTTTTGCCTACTACTCACGTTGTGCTCTTTCTTTCCTTGATGGCCAACCAGAAAATAAGGTGGAAAAAAGTGTTGAGAGGACTGTTGCTTCTGCCGCAAACGGCAATGTCCTCAAAAGCAGAAAGAGGCACTATCGTGTTTTTAGTTTGCTG